TATCAAAAAAGCAAAAAGACAACAGAATGGAGAAAATGTTTACAAATCAAATGTCTGTTAAGAGTCTAATAGCCAGAGTATACAAAGAACTACAGTAATGAAGAGACTAACAATTCTATTTATAAAGAATTGGAATAATTTCTTTAGAGAAGATATACAGATGGCCAATAAGCGCTTGAAAAGATAGATGTTCAACATAATTAGCCATCAAGAAAATGCAAATCAAAAATGATGAGAAGCCACAGCCACCAGGATGGGTATAATTAAAAGAAAAGTACACAATAAGCATTGGCAAGGATGTGGAGAAATGTAAACCCTCCACACATTGCCAATAATGACGTAAAAAGACAGCTCCCTTGGAAAATACTTGGTGGCTCCTCAAATAATGAAACCTAGACTTACCATACGACCCAGCAATGCAGTCCTACATATATACCCATGGGATTGCAAACACGTGTCAACAAAAACTTTGCCTGAATGTCCACAGAAGCATTCTTCATAATAGCAAAAAGGTGGAAATGAACCAATCTCCATCAACTGATGAATAGATAACCAAAACCTGCTATATCCATACAAGGAAATATTATTCAACCATAAAAAGGAATGAAGTACATGTTACACTCAGATGAACCTTGAAAACATTGTGCTAAGTTAAAGGCAGCTGCCGGAACAAAAGGCCACCTCTTGTACGATTCCATTTATACAAAATGTGCAGCCCTGGCTGGTGTGGCTCAGTGGATTGAGCGCTGGCCTGTGGACCAGATCACTGGGTTGATTCCCACCCGGTCAGGGCACACACCTGTGTTGCAGGCCAGGTGCCCAGTTGGGGGCTGTGAGATGTTTCTCTCCCAGAAGCATGTTTCTCCACCTCTCTTTCTCCCTTTCCCTCTCTGAAAATAAAATCTTTTTTTGAAATAAAATGTTTAGTAGAGGTAAGTCCACAGAGAAAGTATATTCGAGGCTGCCAGAGGATGAGAGGACGGGCAGGGAAAGCGGCTGCTCTTGGTTATGGGGTTTCTTCTGGGGATGAAGACATGCTCTAAAAGTAGATGGGGATGGTGGCCGCGTGTCTGTGACTACATTCAACACCATAGGTCTGTACACTGCAAAGCGGTAAGTTTTACAATATTTAAATACAGTCCAGGAAAATGTGAAAAAGCAGTGACGACATTGGAGGCTACTGGAAACCCGAATACTGAGTAATTGGCCGTGTTAAGGAAGTTTTGTTCATTTCTTCTGGGTGTGATAGTGATCATGTGGTTGTGCCTTTAAAAGTAGTCCCTTTAGAGATACTGAAATATTTACAAATGGAATGAGGATGATGCCTGAAATTCGCTTCAAATAACATGAGGCTTCACATCCAAAACCGTTTGGTAAACTTGCACCTCGTGCTTGGGGCCGTGAAACGTAACCAAGCTGCCCCTGAAATTAGACTTGTCTTGCACTTTGTTAATAGAATGGGCCCAGGGTCGTACCTGGTTTGTGGCACTTCATTCACCTACTACCCATCTCATAAACCCCATTCGGGGGATAAGAGGGTCAGAGGTAAAGAAATTACGGTGAAATTAAAGTATTTCATAAGTACCTTGAATGTAAATGAAACAGGTAAAATAAAATGTTCCCAAACATCACTCCATCGAGTCAAGCCCTGCCAGAACTAAGGCACTTATCAATCGGTAGCTCTGCAACGACGGTCCAGGAACTAACCCGAGTTTGTTTTTCAGACCTAAAGCTACACCACAAACCAGAGACAAACTCCATACCTGGTTGGGAAAGCCCCTTCCTGCATCCCACACACTGGTAAGTGCTGCACAGTCCCAGAATGCTTCACTTCCTGACGTGTACCCGGACATCGGTGTCCCAAAAAAGGGAGAACAGGGCTGCTAACCTACACCCTGATTGGTTAACTCCAGCAACTTCTATGTTCTCAAGTAGTAAAAATCCCCCAGTGCCACACCTGGGACCACATCCCAGTGTTCTCGCCCTCTGGAGAGCCTCAATAAAGCTGCCTTTGCTTTTATCACTTCCCTGGTCTAAATTCTTTTATCTCAGGAGATAAGAACCCAAACTCGTTATTGACATTTATGCTGTTCCCAGTGCTGGTCCTGTAGACAAAAGTGGATGTTTTTGTAATTGTGGCTCCTAAAAATGCGATGGCTGAAATAGTTTTCTAAAAACTTGAGTCCTTATATAGAAACATTTTATACACGTGCATTTTTAATTAGAAAAATAATGTCTCAGCCCTGGCCAAGTAGCTTAGTTGGTTAGAGCATCATCCTGATACACAGAGACTGTGAGTTTGATCCCCAGCCAGGGGACATACAAGAATTAGCAGTGAATGCATAAATTGGAACAACAAATCGGTCTCTCTCTTTCTGTCTTAAATCAACCAATAAATAAAAATGTTTCAAAATGATGATTTAATGTTTCAGAATAGTGTGGTTCAGTGGGTTGAGCACTGGCCTGCGAAACAGGTTACTGGTTCAATTCCCAGTCAGAGCACATGCCTGGGTTGCAGCCCAGGTCCCCAGTTGCGAGCGTGTATCTGATCAATGTATCTCTCACGCATTGCTTTTTTCTCCCTCTCTTTCTCCTTCCCCTCTCTCTAAAAGTAAATTTTTAAAAAATCTTTAAAAATGGCAAATATTATCGACTTCCGCCAAGATGGAGGTATAAGTGGAGACGCCGTGCTTTCTCATACAACCAAGTTTAGAGACAACTAAATATTAGCAACAGAAAACACAGCCAGAACACAGAAAATTGAACTTTTCAGAAGTCTGTTACCAACAAATTCTTCAGCCTGACCGGTAAGAGGGACGAAACCAGCAGCTGGCGGAGCGAGGTAGCACAGGAAAACTCGGTCAGACGGACTCGGGCGCGCGGAATCCAGGCGCAGGGTTGGACCTAGTGAGCAACCCAGCGAGGGACAGCGAGGAAGCAGCGAGGGAGCAGGGCTGCGGGTTGACTGTGGTCGCCTATTCGTGCGCAGATAGACAAGCGAGGGAGTGGGCGATTCCACGGGACCCAGCGGCAAGCGGCTGGGGAGGGCTCCGCCATTTCCCCACTCTGACCCCGCCTCCACATACAGCGTCATAACCCAGCGACTCTGAGTGGCCCTGCCCAGGTGAACCACCTAAGGCTCTGCTCCTCACCCAGCGGTGCAAAACAGCAGAGGGGGCTGCCATTTCCCCACTCTGACCACGCCCCCACATCCAGCGTCACAACCCAGCGACCTGGGAGTCCAAGGCTCCGCTCCTCACACTTAAGGGGTGCGAAAAGACCAAATATGGCTCAAGAAAATCTCAAAGCCCCATAGCCTATAAATCTAAGCGATGAAGAAATAGCAAAACTCTCAGACGCACAGTTTAAAACACTGGTGATCAGGATCCTCACAGAACTGGTTGATTATAGCCACAAATTAGAGAAACATATGAAGGCGAAACTAATTGAAATGAATGGAATTGCACAGGAAACCAATAGTGATGAAAAGGAAACTGGGACTCAAATCAATGGAGTGGACCAGAAGAAAGCAAATAATGGCCAAACAGAAAAGAGTCAAGAAGCAAGAATTCAAAAAAATGAGAGTCTTAGGAACCTCCAGGACATCTTTAAATGCTCCAACATCCGAATTATAGGGGTACCAGAAGGGGGAAAGGAACAGCCACCAGTGGAAAACTTATTTGAACAAATAATAAAGGAGAATTCCCCCAATCTGGCAAAGGAAATAGACTTCCAGGAAATCCAGGAAGCTCAGAAAGTACCAAAGAAGTTGGGCCCAAGAAGAAACACACCATGGCACATCATAATTACATTAGCCAAGATTAAAATGAAGGAGAAAATCCAAGAAGCAGCCAGAGATAAGGGGACAGTCACCTACAAAGGAATTCCCATCAGACTGTCAGCAGATTTCTCAAAAGAGACCTTACGGGCAAGAAGGGGCTGGAAAGAGGTATTCCAAGTCATGAAATCCAAAGACCTACAACCAAGATTGCTCTATCCAGCAAAACTTTCATTTAGAATGGAAGGACAGATAAAGTGCTTCTCAGATAAGATCAAATTCAAGGAGTTCATCATCACCAAGCCCTTATTATATGAAATGTTAAAGGGACTTACCTAAGAAAAAGAAGTTAAAAAAACATGAACAGTGAAAGGACAGCAAACTCACAGTTATTAACAACCACATCTAAAACAAAAGCAAACTAAAAGGACAGCTAGATCAGGAGTGGAAACATAGAAATGAAGATCTCAAGGAGGGTTAGCAACGGGAGTGGGAGGAGGAGAAGTGGGGAGAAGGTACAGAAAATAAGTAGCATAGACAGTAGATAGAAAATAGATGGGGGGGGCAAGAATAGCATGGGAAATATAGAATCTAAAGAACTTGAGACACATGGTCATAAACTAAAGGGGGGTAATGGTGGGGACGGGGGGGTAGGGTGGAGGGGAATGAAGGGAGGAATAGAACAAGTGTAATGGCATAATCAATAAAAATAAATTTTAAAAAGTGGCAAATATTAATTGGATCTAAAATGTTCAGCATCTTCCCATATACCCATTGAACAGCCTTCCCTATCTGTGCTACCTCTTTGGCGTTTCCTCCTCACAAATGTTAAAACAATTACTACTTCAGACTGCCTCCAGATTTCAATGGTCACGAAGAACAAGGAAACATAAAAGTAGATGTAAACCTATTATAAATTTACCATTTCAAGGGAGGCCTATGGAAAGATTCAGTTTTATTCCTCGTGTTTTGCTTACAGAACTGGGTAAGAGTTACTATTAAGAAAGCATATATCAGTTTCACATCAGCTGTATACAGTGACATTTTCCTTATTACCAAGTAATACATTATAGTAAAAAATTTAGAAATGTTCCCAAACATCACTCCATCGAGTCAAGCCCTGCCAGAACTAAGGCACTTATCAATCGGTAGCTCTGCAATGACGGTCCAGGAACTAACCCGAGTTTGTTTTTCAGACCTAAAGCTACACCACAAACCAGAATGCAATGCCACAAACCAGGTTGAGCAAAAAGGATAAAACAAAACCATCCATCATCTCACCACTAAGAGATCATAAGAAACGCTGAAAGTGATTTTATTTTTCTAACTCTGTAACTATGAATATGCCATGTTTTCTAAATGGGGTTATATATCATGTTTGTAACTCGTTTTTTTTACCTTACTATAAACTTTTCCATGTCAACATATTGTATATAAACACAAAATAAATGTATGTGGTGTTTAATAGCTTCCTAGTGTTGAAGGTTCCCTTTACCTTTATGACCTTCATTCAAGCACCTACTTATGAGAATAGGTGCGGAGAAGCTTGCTCAGTCTCAGCCCCAGTGGAATTCACCAACTGCAGAAAGGGGCAAACACGCAGAACCCCACTCGCTTAGCGGAAGGCAGCAGAGCTGCGTGGTCAAATTCATGGCCTTCGGAGGCAGACAGGCCCGCCTCGGTGACTTTAGGCAAGTTGCACGACGTCTCTGAGGTCTCCTCAGACTGTCAAATGCAGGAGAAGCATTCCTTGGTCTCAGTGAAGATCTGATGAGTTGACAGCTGCCCAAGTATTTTGAGGAAGGAGAAGGTGACACAGGGTGGACACTCTGAAAGCCATCCGCGCACACACACTGCCTGTGTTGCAGGCCGGACTCACACACAGCAGACGGCCTCGGGCCAGTTCAGCCTCAGTATGTGAAGTGGGGGCAACACAGCTATCGCAGAACCGTTGGGAAGGTCTCACATCACTGTGCCCGGCGCTGGTGAGCACTCAGTAAATAAAAACTGATCTCAATATAGCAGCTTCCTTTGAGCTAGAATTAAAAGTAGCACACGGATTTTCTTTTTTGCTTGTTTAGTCTTCCACTTTTTAAAAAAAAATTTATCGTTGTTCAGTTACAGTTGTCCCGCCTTCTTCCCCATTGCTCTCCCCTACCCCACCCCCTTCCCACATTCAATTCCCCCCATTGTCCATGCCCATGAGTCCTCTATTCGTGTTCCTGTTTGCCCTTTCTCCTTCCTTCTTTAGCCTTTTAATTGTTTATTACTCAAAAAAGCACTTTTTAAATTTAGATTCCCAGCTATGCGCGTGCCTTCAACACTTTGCCGACGATTTTCTGCTCCTCGCTAAGGAAAGCACTTCAGCTTGCTCCTGTCAGGGACGCGCTAGACACACTAGGCCCCCAGAGCCCTGCTGACCTGGGCACTGGCAGGTTAGGTCTCAGAGCACCAACTCCCCGAAGTCGGCCTGGGGACGCGCCGTGCTCAGATTTCGGTGCCTTCCTCACCTTCTTGGTGTAAAGATAAACGGTTCCGTTCCCAGGGCTTGGGGCAGCCTGGTTTCATTAGAGGCTGCGCCGCAGGAAGGCCTGCGGTGGGGCAACAAACGCCGGACCACTGGGGGTGCCTGACTGCACCTCCAGAAGGGCCGCCCACAGCCTTTTACGCCCCTCCCACCAGTGGGTGGGGTCCGTGTCCCCTCCCCCCCCCCGCACTGTAGGCGGGGTCTGTAGCAACTTACCAATAGCAGACGCAGAAGTGCCACGTGCAGGTCCCTGGCCCCAGCCAGCTGAAACTGGCAGCCTCCTTTCCCAGTCTCATTTTCTCTGGAAAGCTTGAGGACGCCTGGGTGTTGTCTGACTCTGCTGAGACCCTCGTGCTGGAGGAGCACGTGCGGAGGCCCAGCAACCCCCGCCTGGTTTTGGCCTGGTTCTGGCCTGGTTCCTGACCCACAAACCCCGGAGAAGACTAAATTGGTCATTTCAAGTCATTGAGTTGCAGAGTAGTTCCCCGTTACTTAGCAATAGATCATCACAACATTGATTCTGAAAATCAGAACGTTAAACAAAGAAGCTGAGAAGCGGTGGGGAGCCTCCAGTCAGGGGGAGAGATGATTCATGTTACACATTCTCTGTTTTACAGTGTTCTATAAAAAGAGCTTCCCTGTCTGTGTGGACACTGTTTACTTCCTTATTTACTAGTAGAAAGAACTGAGGGGAAAGAGTGAGCGTCTCCAAAGAGGTTTGAGCTAAAACCATCTTACCCAGACAGGACAACAGGCCTATCAACGGCACAGGCGGGCGGTGCTCCAGGCCTCACAGCGGGGGAGGAGGAAGCGAGGCCTCGCCCAAGGACTCTCAAGCTTGTGCTTTAAAAATGCTTCTTAACTTTTTATTTTGTTTGTTGTTGCGCTGCTGCTTTGCAGGAACCAACAGAATTTCAGACCTTTCTTAAGAAGGGGCCCAGAGATGGGGGTGGGGGGACAAATTGTGGCGCATTAATTATAATACAGTGAAATTCTTCCTTTTCAAATTCATTCATAATGCCAAAATAATGGCTCTTCTTCTATCTTTGTTTCTATACTCCAGCCCACGATTATCCTTCCACGCATTGTACCCTGGCACGTTAACACTCAGTGTAAATGAAATGCACATGACAATCCCACTGTATTCTCTTTTTGTTTTATAATCAGGAAACAATTTGGACAACTGATCTTCGAAAACATGTTTTGTTTTTTTTAAAAAGGTTTTCTGTAAGGGTTCCCCCCTTTTTGTGATGTGTCTAATAGTCTTTTAAAAACGGATGCAAGGGGGGTGGGTGGGTGGAAATGAGAGTGTGTGGGGAGATAAATGGTAATGAAAAAAATAAAGGTCTTTAAAAAATAAAATTTTAAAAAAGAATGCAAAACTACATTAGAAAATATTACATTGAAAATAAATAGTCCCAAGGAATGACTTTTTCCCCTTAAATTGCTATTTACTCATTTTAGTATAACTTTTATAAATTATTTTTTCTTGAATTGCTGTTTATCGTGGTCCCTTGGGGAGTCCTCACGACCCGCCCTGCGGTGTGACTGACTTCGGAGGAAGCGGGGCTCCTGGAACCTGGCCAGCAGCAGCGAGAGGAATCACTTGAATCCCTTGAATCCACAACGCCTACTCCCTGCTTAACACCCTCCAACCGCTTCCCCTGCAAACACAACCTCCCGCCGCAGCCCAAGGCCAGCCCACGGAGTCCCCTCCTCCCTTTCTGACCTCAGGGCTCCTTCACTCACCAGTGTGGCCACCCCGGCCTTTTTCAGTTTTTAACTGTTCAGTTCTTCAAATGACAAACTTATACGGTTGATATAAATCAGTTCTGGCTATCATTTGCTGCATAACGAATTACCTCAACACTTAATGCCTTAAAACAACAATCACTATTTTGCTCAGGAATCTGCAATTTGGGCATGCAAGGGAGGGGAGGCTTGTCCCTGCCCTGCAGCTGGGAGCCTGACTGGGCTGAGGGTCAGGGGCCTCCATTCTCTCCATGTGGGTTCCCAGGGCGAAAGCCCCAGAGAGAGCCAACAGGAGCGGTATTGTCAACCATGACCTAGCTCTGGAAGTCACACAGTGTCACCTCTGATGCATCTCTAGTCATTGAGGCAGTCACAAAGCCCTGCGCAAGGTCGAAGGAAGAGCATAGACCCCACCTCTTGATGGGGACTAGCAAAGTTTTGGAACAGTAAATGGAACTGGAAAGATCGTTGCAGCCATTTTTGGAAATACAGTCTACCACAAACTTCCGTCACTGTGTGTGTGGTGTGTCAGTCCTGTCTACATGCCCACGAGGGAATAAGCTTTCTCTAAAGGTTACAGTCTTCTCTTATGTGACTGCCTACTCCACGATTTCCTGTAGAGGACTTTACACAAAGCTAATGCTTAATTATGACCTGGTTTTATATGAGTTGGAAGATATCCACAGTTGAGTCAACAATTTTTTAAAAACTAGAACCCCTAGAAAATATCTTAAAACTACCTGTACATAATTTTCTGTCTTGGATTATCCAGGCACCCCTCCGAACCCTGCGGTTTTCCAGACAGTGCTGTGAATTCCAAACACCACAGTGCAGCACTCAGAGAGCATGCAGACTACAGATCATTTACACTTCCAGTACGTATATTTAGAGTGTGAAAATGAGAAAGGCGGCATCTGTGCTTCAGCGGAACAGTATCTCCAGTTAACACGTCAGGGCCCTATGGCAATAGGCTCGGGAGTCAGAAGATAAACTGCAAACCAAGTCCTGCCGTTAAAGGGCACAGCGTCCCAGGTTTCATTCTGCCCGAGTCAGATGACAGTATTTCAGAGGATGGGAGCACTTCAAGTATCGATAAACGAGTCGGGCTTGCATCAAAGGTTCAGTACAGTGGAGGCTCAGACACCCAGGAAGCACAAAGACAAGCAACAACCCCCACATACGTTATTCAGGATGTCCAAGCACCAGATTAAAAGAGCATTCCTCTGCCAGCTTTCTCACACTGGAACTGAACAGAGGGGTTCTTCTTGAAATAATCGTAAATAATTTAATTCGTTTAATAAGCTTTCTGCATTGAAGCCTCCCATGAACCTTCAAAATGATATAGAACCTGATGAAAGGCAGGTTAATTTAACTATAAATTATATTTTCTTACTAATTTGGCCTTGGTTAAACAAAAGTAGAGCAATATAGTTGGATGACAAAAAGTCACCCAGAAAGGGGAAGAATGGGTTAAAAACTAATAGGAGGAGAGCTGAGTGTTCTGGGCTGGGAATTGGAAAACTCTACCCGTGCATTAGTCCTGGGGTGGGAATTCCACACTCTGGCTCTGTTGCTGGGCGCTGCTTAGCTGTGGGCAAGGCGCTTCCCTCCGGAGCCTCAGTGTCCTCTTGTGTAAAACGGGCGCCTGTGCCTATCTCAGGACCTGGTGTGCGGAGCCGATGACTAAGGCCTACGCACCTGCTGTGGGAAACGCACAGCATTAGAGCCGTGGCCTCACACTCGACCAGGGTCAGGATCCCTCGGAGGGCTTCTTAGACCCCAGACTGCTGGCCCTCCACTGCCTGGAGTCTCTGATTCAGCAAGGCAGGGGGTGGAGCTCAGGAAGTTGTATTTCTAACCAGTTCCCACGTGCTCCTGGTGCCACCCCCCCCTTTGAGAACCACTGGTCTGCATCACTCCACACTGGTGGGTGGCTCTTGGCCTGCAGTGTGTCTCCTCTTCATATAAGGACCCCAGTCACACTGAATAGAGGGGCCACCCTACTCTAATACGACCTCAACTTAACTTACATCTGAATCACATCTACATACAAAGACCCTATTTCCGAGTAAGGTCACATTCTGAGGTCCTGGGGGTTAAGACTTCGCAATTTTGGGGGGGGGGGAACACAATTACCGAAACACCCTCCAACTCCAGGGAAACCTTCAGCTCGGCACAGCCCCGGGCTAGCATCTTGGCGGCAGCCTCGTGAGAGGCCCTGGGCCAGAACCACCCAGCTAGTCCACGCCCAGCTCCCTGACCACAGACAGTGTGAATTCATCACGCCCATGACTATTTGAAGATGCTGAGTGTTGGGGTAACTGTTACGTGGGACTAGGCCGCTGACACAGGCGGGGGGGGGGGGGCTTGGCAACGAAGATCAGGCTCCCGTCCTGCTCCCAGACCTTTGCCTCGCAGCAGCATCTGTTTTCAATCTGGGCCTTTTTGCACAGCATTTCACACTACTAAAACTTTTTTTAAAGTTCTGCAATACATAAATCCACTTTGTTGAAAAAACATTTGTCCGTGTAGCGGGTGCCGAAGCATTTCCAAATTTCAGGACAAATCAAAGTGGCTGACTCACCGCTGCTCCCCTTGGAGCCCCGCTTCTGGGCGTGGCCCCGCCTGGGCCTGGGCCTACTCCCAGTCCAACGTGCCACCGCCACGAGGCACTGAGCGGGGCCACCTGCGGGTGAGGGGCGCGCGGCCTGGGGGCTTCCCCTCCGCAGCCGCAGCAGGCGGGCTGCCCCTCGGGCGCTGCCTGGGCCGGGGCGGGGGGTGCTGGACAGGCTGTGGCGGGGCGTGGCTCGCTTTCTCCAGGAACAGGCCTGTGCAAGTGCTGCGCCTGCCCAGCTCATTTGTGTCTCACTTCCTCTGTGAGGAGAACCGCAGACTGGCCCAGCTGCCGCTGCACGAGAAACGGTGTGGGCCAAGCCGCTTCCCCCACGTCTGATCTGGCCAAAAATACATTGGATTTCCTGCCTTGATGTTATTGTCAAGATTGCCACTTGCTTCCTGAATTTCAGGATCACAGTTGACAAAAGCATATCACGGCCATTAGTCATAGGTGTATGTTTTTTCTGAAAATGATTTATTTTACTAATTTTCCCCTCTTCTACTTTGTTCTGCCATCTGGCAGCTACATCTTTTTATTGTAAAACCATTTTGTTAAAAAAAATCATTTTGTTTTACCACCCTTGTTTCACTCTTCGTTTCTACGTCATGAGTAATTAGCTGTAAATTGTGAGTAGGAAGGAAAGGTGCAGGTGCTCCGCTCAGACGAACAGAATCTGCATCCAGCAGGTGCTGTGTAAATGTTTACTGGGTCAAGTAGTTCCGCCACACCTGTACTGAGGACTAGCCTCCTGGTTTCTTTCTCATGCTGATTTGAATCATTTTCGCATGAAGCAACAATACACATTTTTAGGATATTTTCGGTTCCCTGGGGTTTGGGCAAGGATTCTAAATGGGTGGCGGCCAGCCACATCCGGAGCCGCATGGTCCTGCCAGCTCACCCTGCCGGTGCGGTCTGCACCCGGGAGGGCAGGCCAGCTCTGTCATCCGGTGGGAGGGGCCCCACTCCCACTCCAGGGCATTTCCCAGGGCTTCCTCAGGAATCCGAGATGTTCCCGCTTATTCCCTGGAGAATGAGTGACTCATTCCGGCCTTGGTGGGCAAGCAGTGAGTCGGCGGAGACTTTGCCTCCTTCCCGCGGGGATTATTCAATGCGCAGTACGTGGATGAAAAAACTGGGGCACAGCGAGGTTTAAACAAGTCGCCTCCAGGCCTGAGTGGTGAAGAGTAAACAGTGAGGCCAAGACGGTAAACCTGGCCAGGCTCTAGGACCTGCGTTCTTTCATAACCTGCCTAAAATTTCATTTTTTTAGTTCATATAATTACATTCATGCACACATTGTTTCTAAAAACCCAGTTTAAAAAGGGGACCATAACTGGTCTTGGCTGGGTGGCTCAGTTGGTTGGAGCGTCGTCCCACACACCAGAAAGGTCGCGGATTCCATCCCAGGTCGGGTTCAGTCCCTGGTTGGGGAGTGCAAGGGAGCCACCAATCCATGTTTCTCTGTCTCTCAAATCCACGAACACATCCTGGGTTGAGGATTAAAAAGGGGAGGGGATACAACTAAACAGCCACAGCACTGAGGAGGCAAACTACAGGTGGCCAACTATCCAACCTCTTGAAAAGTTATCCATTTTCCACTTAAAAATGAGGAAACAGTTACTAGGCATAGAGTCAAAACGACTTTGAAATGTCAGCCAGAAACAACAGCCAGAAACAATGTGGAAATGAATGGCCTACCAAAACCTTCCCAGACCGAATGTGATGATGTTGCACCTGGAACCGGTATGTGGGACGTCCTAGCTCTGGCCTGGTGGGCTCTCCACAACACCTGTTGAAGGATGAATCAAATGAAGGACTAGAGCGGGCCGCCCTCCACAGCAGTTCTGGCCACTTCTCTGCAAGAAGTGAAGTGCCTCTCTGCAGATGGAAGGCCCTTCTTGACTGGGGGTGGGGGGTGGGGTAGAACTGAATTCTACCAGCATCATTTGTCCTGCCCAGCTGGGCAGCAGTAAGGCTCTTGCCGAAAGCTGGCATGATTGATGAAGGTCCCTGGAATCCCTGGGGGAGGCGCGCTGTGCGGAGAGACTCCTATTACTCACACCTTCCGACTGCTGCCCACCCCCAGGGCCTTTTCCCCCGTGTTCCCCTCCCTGGGGCATCGCGCTCCTTCCTTCAGGGCACAGTGGATCCCACCGCACACCTTCCGTTCACCGGCAGAAAGGCAGACGTGAGACACTTCCCTTCTGTTTCAAGCTGCTTCAAAAGCCACAATTCTGCTGTGGCTGGTGGCTCTGGTGCTGCCACTTCCTCTGGATAGAATTCCGGGCCGACTGAATGGGAAGAGGGCCCCGTGGCAGCCGTTTCCATGGCAGCTTCTGCTTTGCAAGTTTGTTTCTTGCCTTAGAAAAGGCCCGAGGTCCTGGGCCTCACTGATCAACAAGAACCAGGAAAACACACAGGCCACTGCTCTGTGGGGGTGTGCAACAGAAACTGTCACTTATTTCATTTTAAAATCCTCACCTGAGGATATATTTATTGATCTGAGAGAGAGTGAGAGAGGAATACCAATGTGAGAGAGAAACATCAATCGGCTGCCTCCCACACCGGGGACCAAACCCACAACCTAGGTATGTGCCCTGATTGGGAATTGAACCCACAACCTTTTGGTGAACAGGACGATGCTCCAACCGACTGACCCTCCCAGCCAGGGCTGTGTGAGCTCTGAAAGCCAACTGTGTAATGAGAGATCTGCTAGAGAAAGGCGTGGCTCGGCAAAGACAACGGTGGGTAGAAAATACCAGGGAGTGTCTCAGTGATCTGCATGTAAGAGGAAGAGACGCTGGGTGGAGTCTGCCTCCCCTATTTCTTCCCAAAGCTCCCAGGGTGGGCAGAGGTGGTCCCAGTACTGTGAGCTGTGGCCTGTGCAAGTTCAGGGCTATCCACACGCTGGCCAGCGCCCAGCCCCCACTCCCCCGAGTCCCTCTCATACAACCGCCCATAGAGGGCTGCTGTCACCAGACCAGAGGACAGTCGGCTCTTTCTCAGGAAATAGTGGTCGTTCTCCCAGCCGAGCTGGTCAGGGGTTTCCAGGGTCATGCCTGAGGTCAGAAGCAGAGGAAAGATATAGGGAGTGCTGAAGTTGCCCCACAGGTGAAAGTCAAACATCCCCGTGGCCTCGGAGATCTCCTGCCCGCAGGTGTCAAAGCTGAGACCCCCACACTTGACCAGGGCACAGACTTGCACGTAGTAAGTGCCGTGCACGGTGTGGAGGCCATCGAAGACCCCCAGGGCATACAGCTCTTCGGACAAAGTGGGCCTCTGGTAGAGTAAGTAACAGCAGAGGCCGTTGGCACAGACGCGGAGAGAGCCTTCCTTTTCCCATACGGGGACCAGGGTGAAATTGTCATACATCATCTCGGAGTGAAACGTGGGAGGAGCATTCATGTTCCATCTGGTGGCTCCATCACAGAGGACTTCCTGAGAATCCCTCTCACAGTATGGGTCACCTGCCAAGATTTGTAGAAATTTACTATGGGATGGGTCCACTGTATCTGTGGCGTTCTCTGTGCCAACAAGACGCTGTGGGTTTCTGGCTACCTGGGCAGTTATGAGGTGGCCTGTGGCATGTTCCATGTCATGGTGCCACACGGACTTCAGGGGCGAGTGTATGCCACTTCCAGTCATGCCCGAGGACAGCTGGTGGATGTTAGCAGCCAGGAAGTTGACCCCGAAGGCCATGGCGAAAGCACTCTGAATCTGAATAGCCGCCAGCAGCGGGAGCTGGTTCATCCAGGCGGCCGTGAACACGATGTGCTTCACCTCGGGGTCTCTGAGCAGTGAGACGGCGGGCTGGAAGAACAGCACGTCAAAGCAGGTGAAGACGCCGAACCTGCCGGCAAAAGGGGTGTCGAAGGTAACGTGGTCCACCTGGAAAGGGGTATCAAAAGCCGCCTCGAAGTAGAGGTTCTGTTTGCGGTAGCGGTCTACGAGGGTTCCATTGCTGCTGAACACGACGTTCGTGTTAAACTGGTACCTTCCGTCCCCCGGGCAGCCAGGGTCACTGCTCCGACAGGGCTGCTTTGTCCCGATATTGGCCACCAGGAACATGCGCCCCCTCGCGGCCATGCAGCTCAGGCGCTGGAGGACCTAGAGGGGAAAAAGGAATAGATACATGTGTAAGCAAATGGCTTTTTATAAAGATCCTGCCTTTTGCCTTACAATTTTAAGGTAGAAAAGGAGCTGCACTGTGTCCATAAAACATAAATAGCTATCATAAATCCAGTGAAAAGCAACCACCACTGAAAATGTACAAAGGATATGAAGAACTCACAGAAGACTAAATACAAATGGCCAAGAAACATCTGAGAAGATGGTCAACCTTATTAGTTCTAAGGAAATGCAAATCAACATAATGATGAGCTATATTTTTCACCTTCATTATATTGGCAAAACTTCACAAGATTATTCTACTTCTACGTCGACCAAAGGTGGGAAAACGAGCACTCATGCACTCATATACACTGGGGGTGTAAAGTGAACTCAGTCTTTTAAAGGGGAAATTTGGTATTTTACAATAATTTAGGAGGAGGCTGGGGGTGCGGAGGGTTTGAGCAAAAATAAAACAACGCTCAAGGATGTGGACGACAGCAGGGTGACAGTGGGGGACAGGGTGGGGGAGGTGGGGGAGGCTGAAGGGGGGATAAATGATGAAGGAAGGAGATTCGACTTGGGGGGTGAACACACAATACAGTGTACGGATGATGTGTTGTGGAACTGTGCACCTGAAACCTGTATAATTTTGTTAGCCACTGTCACCCCAATAAATTCATTTAAGTTTTTTTTTCAATGTGCCTATCCTCCTGCTGAGAAATTCCATTTCTAGGAATCTCACCTGACAGAAAAACTTAGACATTTCACAAAACTATGTGTACAAGGATACTCACTGAGACACTGTTTATAACGGCAGGGTTAAACAAAGACTAAGCCTCCAGCATGCTAAAAAAGAGGGTGTCGATTATAAAACGCACAGGAAGGAGGGTTGCACTTGGAGGCACATCAAATTGCTGATGGTAGTTTCTCTAGGAGGGAAGCAGGACAAGGGCTGGGGGGTGGGGACAGTGGCTTTTACTTGCTTTTTGTCTGTTTCACAAGCAAGTGTTCATGCATTTCTCATGTAGCTAATAAACGGAACAACCCACAGCCGAGTACATGCCTTGTACATCAGACATTCCTTAACTGGGTGAATGTGGCGTGTGCAGCATGGGTTTCATTTTTAGGACCTCAGGCCCCCCTTTCAGTTTCATTTAACACGTCTTGGCCCCTGGCTCGGTTCATCTCTGACACCTTCAGCCCACCGAGGAGGAAGTCTGGGGTGCTCACGCACCTCCGTGTCATCAAATCGATGGGGCTCCAGGCATGGGTTCCACCTGACGACCCGGGGAGACGGCATGAAGTCCAAAAAGGGGTAAATGGATGTTCTTGTAAAGTTGAATCCGTGAATGCCGTCTTCTGGAAACACTATAATCTGTACACCCTGTAAGTCAAAAACATGGAGGTATGTTACCAGATAACGGGAAGCACCACTTCATTCAGGTATTCATTCCTTCATTCATTCATCTAGGAGCCATCAAGCGATTGCTGTGTACCAGGACCAGAGGTTAAAAAATGACAGCTGAACTCTCATCGGGGGTCTTAGTCTGGGGGAGGCCATCTCACTTGGCCTAATTCTGAGGGAACAAAGACAGAGTCCTGAGATGACCATGTACCGGGGGCATGTCCAGGGAAGGAGGGTTGAAGGGAGCAGGAGTTTGCCAAGCAAGCGGTCAGGGGTTTGGAGTTCTTGGTGGTGCAGTGGGAGACGTGGTCAACTAGAAGAGGTCTTGAGTATTGGGCTCATGATCAGATGATGGATGTAGCGTCTCCAGTCCCTTGGTTTTTAACCTTCACTGTGCATTCAAATCAGATGAGGGACTTATGAAAAAAACAAACAAAACCAAACCACCCCTTGTACAGGGCTGATGCTGGGGCCCACCCCTGGAAAGCTGCTTCGGTTGGTTGTAGGTGGGGCCCTGGCAGCGCTTTGTTTAAACGTCCTGGTGATTCCAACGTGCAGCTAAGGCTGGGGCCCCCTGGGCTGGGGTTGACTGCAGCATAGAAACAAGGGCCTGCTCTAATGTGCAATTCCCCAGCTGGGACATAGGATCCTGAATGAATCCTGACCACACCACAGGCCTTATCCCGCACCTGGAGACACCTGGGCTCCCTGTGCTGGCCACGGCAACCCAAGAAAACCCAAACAGGGCAGCCCTCGGCTTTCAGCGCCTGGGCCTCAAGCGCCTGCCATTCTCCACTTACGAGGCTCTAACGGGCCAGCCTGGGACATTGGCCCAGAGTGCAAGGGGAGGAGGAGGGCAGAGAAGGCATGAGTAATCGGAAATAACGGGCAATGTGAGTCACTTATTTCTGGAATGCACGGAAAGCCTTCTGTACAACTTTTTTTTCCGATTATAAAAGCTTCAAAAATTTAACTGTAGAACAGAAAATATAAAGCATTCATAATCCTGTGACTTAATGATACTTATTGTTAATATCTTGACTATTTTCACTCTCTTTCTCTAATTCAGGTAATAAATATAGTTTTCCATCTTGACTTTCTCACTCTATAAAACATCAGGATTACAAAGATACCTTCACAAATGTAGTTTTATAACGGCCACTTTTAAGGGGACACCTCTGTTTCCTCCCTGTTACTGAACAGGTGATCAGTTACCAACTTGTTACGACAGGAAAACTGTGGCGACCATCTGCACCCAGGGTGTTCGAAGCACTTCGTGATGAGTGCCCTGCACAGATCTTTGATTGGCTTTCTGATTATTTCCTTGGAATAAAGTCTTAAAAGTGAAAGTACTGGGTCAAGGGTATAAGTTGTATGTTCTTAACGTGCCCTGCCGAATAGCTTTCCGGAAAGATGACCGTGTAGGCCCCTGCAGCAGACTGTAAAGGGAACTTTTCGCAAACTTGGAAATACAGCAGGATGAAGAACGGACGCCTTCCCAAGGCAGAAGCGGGTGCTAATTAACCTCACTCAAGGACCACTTATCTAGGGAAGGTGCCGCGTGCGGCTTTGCCGTTTACCAGAAGAGTATTACCCTAATGACTACAACTGTATTGCCCTGTAGGGCACCTGTTGACAAATTCATTTCAACCTTCATCTCCCTGACTGACACTCACTATTCTCTATTGAACCTTTCTGGTTCCTTCAAAAACCAATGAGTTAAAGAAAGCTCTGACACGTGTTCATTCCATATTTGTACGACTCGTGTTTTTTTTTTAAGATTTTTTAAAGTTTTATTTATTTTTAGAGAGGGGACGGGAAGGAGAAAGAGAGTTAGAGAAACATCCATGTGTGGTTGCCTCTCACGTGGCCCCCACTGGGGACCTGGCCTGCAACCCAGGCATGTGCCCCAACCGGGAACCAAACCCGAGACCCTCTGGTTTGCAGCCTAAACTCAATCCACTGGGCTACACCAGCCAGGGGTGTGTGACTCATGTTTTTTAACTTTTTGGCAATTATACTTGGATAATTTCCCTTAGTAAAAATAAAACTCTGAGAGCACTGAATGAGTTTTTAATAGAAAATGAGAGTTAAGATATGTATAAATATTAGATTAACATTACAATTGAACTGGATTTCCTGAACCCGTATCTGCCAGGAATGAGCAGGGGAACCGAACCTGCGCTGGGGCAGAACTTTGGGTCTGAGGTGACTGCCAGTCCTCCCCAGGAAGTCCTAGGAAGGACCACTCCGGATAAAAGACTTGAGCAGGTTTCTGACAAACTCAGATGAGTTCAAGAGCTCCCGAGGCATCGGGGCTGCCGACCCAGGTGACTGAGCGGCAGGCAGTATCTGCAAGCCGGACCCCTTTCTTCCCTGCAAAGCCTCCGCCCAGAGAGAAATATTTCAATTGGCTTGTTCAGGGACCACGACCCTCATCACAAGGTTGGTATAAAACTGACACGTGCTTTGCATCAATTTGTCTTGCAAGTTGCTTTCTTTAACACATATAATGACATAGGGCAGTAGGTATCTATACACACTAAACACACTCGGATCTGCCCCAGCCAATGTGGCCCATTTGGTTGGGTGTTGCCCCATAAACTGAAACACCACAGGTTCGATTCCTGGTCAGGGCACAAGCCTAGGTTGTGGATCTGGTCCCTGGTCATGGTGCACACGAGAGGCAACCAATGGATGTTTCTTTCTCATGTCAGTGTCTCTCTCTCTCTCTCCCTCCTTTCCCCCTCTCTAGAGTCAATAAGCGTGTCCTTCAGTGAGGACTGAAAAAGAGTGCGGATGGAGAAGAAACTGGGCGTCAGGTTGGGAACAGAAGAGAGGAGTGCCATCCGTGGGAAGGAGCCGGAGCAGGTCTTTGCATGTTTATGCCCCTCCCCACATCAGTTGTATGTGTACGTGTGCGCCTTCTAGGCTAGAACTTTTGAACGTGGCTATCGACAGTGGCTGTCCAGGCGACAGCGTCCGCCCTGACCAGAGACAGGGGCGGTTTGGGGAAGGGCCTGTTAGCATGACTGGTTCTGCCCTTGACGCTCCCAGACACGGGGAGGTTCCGATCACAAGGAAGCGGAGCAGGGCTTCCTCCAACGGCTGGGCTCACTCGCCCGACCACCGGGGTTAGAGTCCAAACTTCCCTTTGGTTACAGGTTTCCCCAAAGGGCGCTTTCTTACAGTAACATCTGGCACCGACACTTCCTTCTCTGCCCACCCTTCCTGGCAGGCGTTGGAGATGCGGGCGGGGCAGGAAGCTGCACAAAGGCCTGCACCGACTCCCCTTGGTTCCTTCGGGTCCCAGCTCTCGCCGGACTGAGTTCTCAAGACTGTTCAGGGTCTGGCACTGAGACCGGAAGTGAGCCCCAAATAATCTGAAGACAGCAAACGGCAGTTCCGTGGGTGCCTGCTATTTCAGTTTGACGCAGGATGCCTCAGAAAGAATGACGGGCCATCATGCCTGGCAGGTCTCAGATGTTCTGCACATCAGAAGCCACTGGGAGGCCCGCAGTTGAAGGGGTGGCCGCCGGAGGATGATGTGGGTGGAGCAAGGAGGGAGGACCGGGTGGCGTAGGGGTTTTGTACTGAGGGCCAGTGATGATGTTTTGACATTTATTTCCTGCTACTGAAATTTGAATCTGAGTGAATTGTCCCTATTTCTGATGATGTCAGTATTGCAGAGACATATTCATAATGAACAAATCTTCCTTTCTTTCCACGTGTATCTCTAAGAAACAGATCCAGCTGATTTTGCATGTAAATACCAAGAGCAATTTACCTGGTACCAAACCCACACCCCAGCATGGCCCCTCCGACCCTCACCCCACACCGCCCCCAAATGCTCTGGAACCTCTCTCCGGTGGGTGATCCCTGCCTGGTCCTGGCTGCAGTCAGCAGTCCCAGTGAGGGGTTTTGTGTGTTTAGGCCTCATTTCTTTTGTCTTTTTCCTACTCTGTTCCCAGCTTTTGCCGATTTCTAGTGTTTACTTCGTGTTTGATTCCATTCCATGGAAATAAAAAGTATGTTGTATATACAAAAAAAAAAGCCCAATGCCCAGCCCATAGCCCATCCCACTATGCAGGAATGGAGCGTGGGGTGCAGGCACCCACATTTGTTTACAGATGGCCAGGCGAGTCCTCCACACAGCCACATCAGAGAACCAGGGATCCAGCCCTGGCTCCTCAGACTTGAAGTGAAAGGCATCACCAGGAATCTTGCGAAAATGTAAGTCTGATTCGGCAGGCCTGCAGTGGGGGCCTCATTCTGCATTTCTCGCAAGCTCAAACAGGCTGCTGAGGCCGCTGGTCCATGGACCCCTCTCTGAGCAGCAACATTCTGGCCAACTCGCTACCTCCACTCAGCCTTGCCCGCCACACTGATTTTCCATTGGGGCTGCAGGAACCCCTGACCCAGGGCAAACAAGCGATGTCCCCCTTCTGCCAGACAAGCCCAGGCCCTAACCCCGGAGTGCATCTTGCCTTTTGGGCGGCAATCATCACTTGCTCTTCGTAGATGTCCAGGTTCTGGTTCATCAGTTCCAAGGCCTGCTTGCGGCTGACGAGAGCTAGAGGGTCCGGACCCTCGATCAGCTGGTGCTCATACACCGCGGCCACGTAATAGTCAGTGTTGAGACCTTCAGCTGCGCCGTGGTCCCCAGAGGGGACTCCCAGGGCCACCGCGTAACAGCCGCAGAGGAGAAGAGCAAGGGGGCGGCTGGCTCCAGACATCGTGCGGACTGTAAATCTGGAATGTAACAAGGCGAGGGAAACAGCTGAATAAAGACTCCTGCCAAGAATTTAACTTTTGCAACTGTGATTTATTAATTCCCAGCAATTAAACTCAGCCACCGTGGTACTGCCACTCAAAGAGCTTGTTTCGTGTTCCTAATAAAAGGGCATGTGTTTCTCTCCAAACACGTAGCTGTGTTTAAAATGGCTCACTGCGTTAACAGCGTGGTGTGAGAACATTTCCAACACAGACCCGGTGTTGGCTTCACTCATCTCTTCTCTAGCTGCACACTTACATTCCGGACAACACCAATTATTCCGATGGTTTTACATAATTCTGTGACCTGTTCCGCATCCCACGACTGGCCCTCTGCGCACACACACTCACTATAGTCACTCGCGTGCCTGAGCTCCCACTGCCGTGCTCCTGTTGACAGGCACAGCTTGGCTTTCCTAGTTGTAAAAATTGGGTGGATCAAAACCCTCCCTGCACTGCACCAGTTAGTCACGAGTATACAGGATAAGGCTCCCTTTACTCAACACAATACTCTTTATTTGGTGCCGAGAAACTGCTGACTTCCACTTGAATGCCAGGATCAACTCTGTTATTAACAGATAGAAAGAAGACTTCCAACCAAACCACAACTTTTTTCCTCTTTGAACTTGACCATTGCCACTGCCTATCACCACTTCTTAAACTTCGTCTCTGTGACTCCCAAACTCTTGCTGGAAAGCATATTCATTGGGAAAGAAAGTCCTTTTGCAGTGATAACATGGAGTTTCCTAGAAAATAAACTATAATTTCCTGCCAGGTAAACTGAGCTTTGGGGCTCCCCCCATAAGAGATTAGAAGTAAGTGATGTCACTCGCAATGACACTTCTGACTGCCTTCCACCCCATGAACAGGAATTTTTATTTCCAATCATATGTGTTACTGAGTGTTTGAGTGATGAGTCCAATTCTGCCTTAGCATCAGCCCGGCCTCCCAGCTGAAGCCCCTCCTGGGGCCCAGATCAGCCCCCCGGGGGCAGGCCCCATGGAGCTGCGCCCTGTGGAGCTGTGCTGGGGCTGACCAACTGCCCCGGAATTGGGATTAAACACCCAGAGAACAAAGAGAAGTTGAGGAATCACACTGCTGCTCTTTAAAAAGAAAAATGACACCCTGCCCTTGTCTGACTCATAACTCCTAGGTTTGCACTTCAACTTCTCCAGGCTGCGCAGTTTTTCTTTTTTCTTCTCAGAAATCCCATAAAGAGCAGTAACCATAGTTATTTTCAGCAACAGAACAAAGACGAGGGGTGCTCAATCATTATCAAATGCTCCTCAGAGTAAGTGGCGCTCTGCCCCCCCCCCCCCCGCCCAGCTCACCCTGTCAGTACTTTCCCCAGGGGACAAATGTGCCATCCACACCCCAGACCCCAGGGTTACTGCCATTCATCGGAGACACTGTCAGCAGTGTTTTAAGATCAGAACAAGGGGCCTTTGACCGAGCAGTCATGGGTTTTTGAGAAGAAACAAAAGTGTAATTGATAAGCTTTCTTATCTGAATTTTGCCTCTGAAGACCAACCAGCAAGGAATAATTTGAAGTCTCAAAGTCTATTTTCCATTCCATCTCTGCTTTCCTAACGATGATAATGGGGGGTGGTTTGGGGGGGGGGGAATCTTTCATTGTCAAAGTCACAGTCACAGTATTTCTACATTATCAGGCGTCTGCCTTATTAGGCAATGGGGAAACTGAGGCTGGGGAGGGGTGAAGGGCCAGGAGGCGTGCCAACCAGCGCCTGGAGGCGGCAGGTCTGGAGTCCCTGGGGCCCAGGTTGGCCATGACAGCAGTCCCCTTGCCCAACTAAGGGCTGCACAGTTCCAATCTGGGAGCACAGGCCATTTGTTTAAGTCTCACAGACTTGCAAGCCGGCAAAACAAGGAAATGGTGGCAACAGCAAGATATCACATTGCTTTCCATCTTGAGAAAATAAAATCTAGCCTCTTTACAAAAGGAGCTGGGTAGGAGAGCTGTGAGTGGCAATCATTTGTGCGTGAACAGGGGTGGGCTGATAATAAGAGGTTATGCAGATTCAACCAGGTATTCATGCTTGAAAGAAGCAGGCTTAATGAGGAAGGTGAGAATGAGTAATTACATTAAAAATAGGAGCAACAGTCTGCCCTTCTGAAGAGTGGGGAAATAGCACCTATTTTAACCAAATTTGCAAATGCTTGCTTTTTCTCTGCATCTGGCGCTACACAACTGCCTGGCAGGTGTGTTGGGGGGGGCGGTGGCGGACCGAACAAGGTCGATGCAGGGACTCTGAAGGGCACAGCAGGCAGAACCAGAAGGGCACAGTTTCCAGTGGTTACCAGGTGCTGGCCCGTGATGCCATGCACAGGGTGGGTATGGGGCTTCCTGGGAATAAGGGGGTTCTGCAAAGTCATGAGGTCCTTGGAGATCCAGCAACTGACCCACCTTCAGAGCTGGCCAACACCCGGACCATACACAAAATGGTCACCAGAAGTGTGTGCTGGTCTCTAAAGGTAGCGAGGCCCTCTAATGCACTGGAGGGGACTTGGCAGGTGAGACTAAACTTCAGAAAGGGCCCAGCACGAACGCACCGGGAAGGTGACATGTGCTTCCACATCCTGCTTGACATGCTCTGTTCACCACGACCCTCCAGGATGGGGGCGCCGGCCTGAGGGGCGCCCCGAATCCCACCTGCAGGAAACGGCAGGGTCAGACACCCACAGACACCCGAGTGCGTGCCAGCCACGGTGTACAAGTCAGGGAGGCAGCGAGTACGCCCAGTCCTTGCTCGAGGAGCGCCCACTCCAGATGTACGAAAAGATGGGCGGCCACAATCTAATAGATATGTAGTATGTCAAACGGTGATAAATGTGGAGGACAAATGAAGACGGGGAAGTGGGAGGGAGGGCCTGGACTGAATGAGGGACAATTTTAAACAGTATGGTCGGGAAGGCCTCAAGGAGAAGGCGTTGTCTGGGGAAGGCGAGAGAGGAAGCCGTTTGGATGCCTGGGAAAGAGTGTCCCAGGCAGAGGAAATGGCTCAGTCACCGTGCGTGGACCCTGGCCAAGGGGGTTCAAGAAACAGCAAGGAAAACAGCTAGCTGGAGCCCGGGGACCAGGGGAAGGCGGCAGAAAATGAAGTCAGATGGAGAAATCACAGGGGACCCTCCTTGGCTTCTGCACACCGCCCTGCGGTGGTTGCGATCCTCTTCATTCTCGTCAGAGCAACCGGTGAGATCCGGTTAAAGCCTGCGTCAATCACGACACTCCTGTGCTCAGAATCTTCCCCAGACTCCTGCTGTGTACAGAGTAAAAGCCTGAGACCTTGTCGTGGGCCAAGAGGAAGAGCCAGGAGACAGGAACTCATGGATGGATGGGAAGAGAACACCTGGAGTGGCATCCTTGGCAAGCACCCTGATCTCTCATGGCGCTACGGAGGCCTCTGTTTCTCATTTCAGAAGCAAAAAATATTCCCCCGACACCAATGCTATCAGGAAGCCTCTTGCGTTCTATGAGGAAAAGACATCAAAGTCTAAATTACATGGAAATCTATTTTGCGGAAACTTGGTTAACATGCCAATCACCAGATTATTTTTGCACCCAGGGAACTTTTTTTTTTCCCACCTTGTTAAATGATTCATCTTGGTAATTAGCTGTGTTTCCTTCCTAGCCACGCTGGTACAATAGTGTCTTCTGCGGTGAAATGAAAGGATTATTATTAAGGTTTTTTTAAGAAGACAATTTCAGGGACGGGTTTATACATTTAAAAAATTATATATAGACCTACTGATCTTGGGAACAAAAGAGCTTGTCACTCTACTGGTCAGGGGAACAGTGGTCCGGTGACAGGGAAAGGCGGCAGCAGGCCTCGGCGGAGCAGACGCCACAGCCAACAGAACAAAGCCCGAGGAAGTCATCAGGAGGCAGCTGAGTGTATGTTTCTGTGTGTATCTGACGGGACGCCCAGAAGAACGCTGTGAATTAAAGTTCCGAAGAGTTTTAAACCTTTTCTCATGAACTTTGTAATTTCCATGAGTAAATCCTGGCTCATGAGGAGGAGAAATAATGTCCACCTTCATCGAATTTACAGAACCTGAATTTAAAGAAATCCTGAAAGAGACCTTTCATTTCCTAGAAAGCCTCTCGTTTTCTGCTTCTCTTTCCAGTGATGCTAGGAGTGAGCACATCCGTGACTGGCCTCTGGAACGAGAAGCCCCACAGTGTTTTGTTTTTTACAGATTTTATTTATTTACTTTTAGACAGAGGGGAGAGGAGGAAGAGAGGGAGAGAAACATCAGTGTGTGGTTGCCTCTTATACGCCCTCTACAGGGGACCTGGCCTGCAACCCAGTCACGTGCCCTGACTGGGAATTGAACCTTTGGTTCCAGGGCCCCACAGTGGTTTTTGTTTGATCAGCTTCGGGCAAACCCAGGCACCACCATGACTTTTGATGTCTCCATGGGAGATGTCAAGTGCAATCACTTGTGAGTGGCACCTGATGGTGAGGTCAGAATTCAAGGCTGGACTCACAGGGAACAGTGAACAAGTTACCAAGTCCTCTGAGTTCAACTGGTAAGTTGTGATTTCACCTTTTAAAAAATTCCAGCTATTTATCTTCAAAAGAGAGTAATGTACAGAAGTGTAACTTTGCACCAGGCTTTTGCTTCAGGCCTATTTCTGCTCTGTTGGCCAGAGTGATTTATCTTGAATCACTAAATAAGTAATCAAGGGATCGTGGCTCTTGAACCTACACATGCCATCCTTCTTTCCTCAAACGGGAAATTACCTTCATAATTTAAATCAAATAAAACTTCTTCCTGAAAAGCTCAGGTATTTAATGGAAGAAGATTCTTCTGTCATTTTTGTGCAGACAGTAAAAAGCCCCAGCTGAGGCTGATTCTACAGGTTTGCTACTGCCACCCTGTGGACACACTGAGTATCATTAACCCAAGTAACAGCGATTCTTAAGCAGGAAATGGATGGCTGCCTTTTCCCCTCC